AGGGTTTAGGGTTTTGGGGTTCTTAGGAAGCTTCTAAACGACATCATTGATGGTGCCCTACTGAGGTTTGGCCAAGTTCCCAACTGAGTGTTGGTAAAACATCAGGAATTCCAGGGCGGAAACGCAGAAAGGCGTCCCGAGTGACAATGAACAACCTAACCAAATCCTCTGAAGCCCCCTCAACCCAAAACCCCCTCAGTCCGTTGACCTGAACCCCCGAATCAAACCTAAGGCTAGAAGTATGGGCCCCTAATATATGGACCCCTAGGCCAGGGACCCTTAAGGGTACATATAGGGTACATAGTAGGTGTATAAGGATCCCAGTGTTAAGGGCCCACACCAGGGGCCCATGGTTTCAACCTTAGATCAAAAGCAGCGCTTCGACTTCTCAACCTAACGCCCCAAGTGTGCGGCGACAGCTCGGCAATCCTCGCCCAGCTCAGCACCGACTCCGCAGCTCTCAGAGGAAGACGCCAAGGCATCCCACTCCTTCGGGTTTTACATTTATGGTTTAGGCTTAAAGGTTTAAACCTCTTTGCGTTCAGGGTTCAAGGTTTGAAGGGTTTCGGGGATGAGGGTGTTGGGTTTCTTGTTGAGGGGTTTGGGTCAGGGCGTGGGTTCGGCGCGCAGGCTTTCAGGTTGTGGCTTTGGTCTTGTGCAAAGGAAGCTTCGTGAGAGACGGCTCTCAGAACATGAGAGACGGATTCTCGACGGTAGCATGTATTTTGTATGTATCTATGTTTTTTTGAGCTGCTGTGCTGCAGCGTGACCAGGGCTGGGATTGAGGGTGCTGGGTTTCGGCTCTACTGAGCTGCTTTTGTGGTTTCAGGTCCTTACAGACACCGGCTTTTCAGAAGGAGCATGGCTGGGCTTGGGGATCTAATATAGGGGCCTTAATAATTAGAATAGGGTTTTGGGGGTTCCTTATTACAAACTATAGTATCACATACCCCAAAACCCTGTTCTAATTATTCTGCCTATTATAAACTATGGTATAACATACCCCAAAGCCCTGTTCCAATTATTAAGGCCCCTCTATCTCATCTGCATCACTGCCCCTTTTTTCGACGACAGAAGCTATCTTCAACACGTTGGGGCTGAAGGCGCAGCCGGATCTCCGCACCTGGTAATGTAGGGGCCTTAACAATTAGAATGGGGTTTTGGGGCCTATAATACTATCATCGGGGGTTGAATATAGGGGCCCTAAAAATTAGAATGGGGTTTTGGGGTATCTTAAGTTCTAACAAGGAAACCCCAAAAAATAGTATAGGTAGTTGTCTCGGCCCCCGTAGTAGCCCGAACCCTTCTCTTCCAGAGTACTCCCTATACCCTATACCCTAAACCCTAAACCCCAAACCCTAAACCCTAAACCCTATACCCTAAACCCTAAACCCTAAACCCAAAACCCTTATACCCTAAACCCTAAACCCAAACCTGGAACCCTAAAGCTGAATCGAAACCCACGGGTTGCTTACGCACAGCACCCTGTCCTTCAGCTGCTGGGACCTAGAAACCCCAAGGCCCTAAGGCTGCATGCACTGCAGGGGCCTAAATAACTACCTATCCTATGTTGGAGGTTCCTTATTATAGTTAGAGTATAATATACCCCAAA